TTCGGCAAACCAGGCATCGTCAAAATGGGCGGAACGGTGGTAAAAAGTTAACCCGATCATGACTATCAAAAAGCCGAAAGCATATTGATAAATGCGGGATTTAAATAAAATAAACGATTCCATCTAATTGAATACTCCCTAGGCTCCGACTAAAATCGTCCATTTGAATCTAAGAAAAGCTTACAGAATGCAGATAAGACTGAGAAAAGATACAAATTTGATGAAAAGAGTTGTAAATGGCTATAAATAAAGGACGTAATTCAAGTTATGGCTTGCTGGGGCCAACTGTCCTACAAGAGAGGATAGGGCTTGTTTAGGCCGAAATAGCCATAAAAACAGGCACCTGGTTTCAGATCAAGCCAGCTCTCCCGATTCTGAACAGCTAATGGTCGGTAAGAGTCTGAGCATTGGTAAAATCAACCATCACGTCTGGTTTTTGACGGGTCCCGATTAAATCAGGTCGTTGACTGCGGAGGTGAAGGATGGTACGCCATACGTCGCCGTTCCACTCAAAACTAGAAAAGCCCCGGTCTGAATCGCTCTGGACCGGGGCTTTTTTATAGAACGGCTTTTGGCCTACTTAAAAATCAGCGTCGAAAGTAATTCCTTTGGGCTCTTCAACAACGACAACGGGCAATGGGTTTTCTGCATCCTGTGGCTGTGAAGCGGCCGCTTTCATAGCCTTGAACTTTGACATTACTTCACCCCGCTGATATTCACCAACCCGTTTCTCGAAGAAATTGGTTTTGCCCTGCAATGAAATCATATCCATGAAATCGAATGGATTCGACACGTTGTACAGTTTCCGCAAGCCAAGAGTTATGAGCAGGTGATCAGCCACGAAAGCGATGTACTGCTTCATTAACTCGGCGTTCATACCGATCAGCGATACCGGTAAGGCATCGGCCACGAACTCCTGCTCAATTTCGACCGCATTACGAATAATGTCGTATATCTGCGATTCGGGCAGTTTATTGGCGATGTGATCCGTATAGAGCATACAGGCGAAGTCGCGGTGCAAGCCTTCGTCGCGCGAAATAAGCTCATTTGAGAAGGTGAGGCCGGGCATCATTCCCCGTTTCTTCAGCCAGTAAATGGAACAGAACGAACCCGAGAAGAAAATACCTTCGACAACGGCAAAGGCAATGAGCCGCTCAGCAAACGAACCATTGTCGATCCAGCGTAACGCCCATTCTGCCTTTTTCTGTACGCACGGAATGGTATCGATGGCATTTAGAAGCCTATCTTTCTCGGCTGCGTCTTTAATGTATGTGTCAATCAGCAACGAATAGGTTTCTGAGTGGATATTCTCCATCATAATCTGGAAGCCATAGAAACACTTGGCTTCGGCATATTGCACTTCCGATAGAAAGTTGACCGCAAGGTTCTCGTTGACAATCCCGTCTGAAGCGGCAAAAAAGGCCAGAACGTGCGAGATGAAATGGCGTTCGCCATCATTCAGGCTATTCCAGTCTTTCATATCCTGGCCAAGGTCAATCTCTTCGGCTGTCCAGAACGAGGCTTCATGGGTTTTATAGTATTCCCAGATATCCCAGTGTTTGATAGGAAACAGCACAAAACGGCCTTTGTCTTCTTCTAAGATCGGTTCGATCACATCATTCTGTACCATAGCAATTGGAATACGGTTTATGTGGAAATAACCAGCCAGATAAACTGGTTAAGGCGATAACTGATGAGTAAGTTCAAGCTAACAAAATTACGGTTTCTGGCCACTTCTGCAAGTTAATTCGACAGGATGAATGGCATCAAATAAATGGCTTGGAGCGTTAATTTGCAGTAAATCAGTGGGTTGATTGGTCGGCCGTTTGCAAAGTTCTTGAAATAGTTCAGTGTTGGGAATGAAGGTGCTTTTTCCGTCAAACATCGATTAATTTTATTCTTTACATGGTAAATCTATCTGAGCATACGGTTCAGATCTTTCTCTTACAGTATGCAGGAAAATTACATTTGGCGAAAAGGCAAATAAGCTGTAATATGATTTGAATACTGGCAAAATACAGCCTGCCTGCCGAACAAACTGACAAGCAATAATCCAATTACTCTACGTATTGATCGATCTTTAATTGAGACTGATTAGAGTGATAACGCACTTGCGTTCACCTGGCATCTTTACCCATCAGAATCCGGTACTGGCTACCTGCATGAGGGAGGACGCCTACCCGATGTACCGTCATCCAACGACGTCGTGACGGAAGGGCTAGACGTGGTAAAGATGAATGCTACCTTGCTGGAGAAGGTTGGAGAACTAAGGTTGTGCTTGACGCAGAAACAGAAACGGATGAGATAGTTAAAGAATCTATAATAGCCAGTCAAGAGGTCTTTACTGGCCACTTTTATCTGTGTTCGTCAATCATAAAGATTGACATACCGCTTATTATCAGCTAGTAAGCGGTATGTCTATTTTACTTTCTGCCCCGATATGTTAAATAGCCGTTGATTACCAGTTTTTTGAGCAAGTAAATTTGTGTTAGTGTCTTCATGTTTAAGGTAGTCGGTTAATCGTTGAAGTAAGGTCTTCGATAGCGCGTCAGGAACCTGACCGATAACCTTAACAACTTGTTTGACGGGGATAACAGCTAGAAGGCCTAATCTAATAACTGATGTCACTTTAAGCCCGTTGATGGGAGTAGATTTCACTACTTCGTCAAAGTCCGGTATTGTTTGCTGTAGCTGGGAAGAAATACCACAAACCAAAAAGTCTCCATAGCCCGGCATCTGTTTCAAGACTATAGCCGGACGTTGTTTAGTGCAACCGTCAGCCTGCGGTAGCTTGATTAGGATGATACTGCCCGGTTTTAAATCTTGAATTTGTTTGTTCGTGCTGTATAACATGAGCCGTGTTTGATTTAGTACGGCTCAAAGTTGGTGGGTATGAACGAGTACAAACTATCCCGTTACTGTCACGACAGTAAAAGCGCCAATTAGATTAGTTGGTCAAGGTCGGGTAGATTCAGTTTGGCGCGTTTATGGTCAGGTAGCGGGTTGGACTCAGGATTGACAACTTTTTTTAGATAATCAAGAGTAGTTGATTTTCCATCACTGCGAATGTCAAATATGTGGTTGCATATACCAGCCAGTTTAGCATAGCTTAGTTCTCCGTTTGTAGTTGGAGGTTCAAGATAACCAGCACGTATTAGTTCAGAAATAATGTAGCCAGCAACAGCGGGTTTACAATTCCATTGCAGTTTCAACCCCTCAATGTTATTTGATTCGTACAGTATGGGCGTGTAGCCAATTGGGTCCTGAATACCACCAAATTTCTCCGGATACCGTACATACCAATAGGTTGTTTTGAAATATTCTTCTATACGGACAGTAGCGTTATAAGCTGAGTTCAGAGACTTGGTTATTCCATTAATTGCTCTAGCACACTTTAAAAGATAAGCGTCGTTTGGTAAAGACTTCAAGGATCGAACGTTATTTTCTATACACCATTCATCTACATATAGCCTTATTAAAGAACTCTGATTTTGATATTTCGTATAAAAATCCATTGAGTCAACGACGACAGTAGGTAATTGCTTCAATGTGTCATGAAGTTCTTGGGCATATAAGTACCCTTTACTCTCTCCCTCAATACTAACTATGTTGAACTTAATTTCTTTAATGACTAAAGACTCGCTAGTGCTAATTTCCTCAATTAGTTTAACAACCTTTGAGCGTATTTTTTCAAAATCTTCATCACTGATTATAAAATCTTTCTCATTAAATTGATTGGGGGGTGTTTTTGGTAAAAAGGAAAACTTTTGGAAATATTCAAGTGCGTTGTTAATAGAGTCCCGAAATTTATTTATCTCTGTAAAGTCAAACATTAGCCGAACCTGGTTTAGTTGTAAAGCAGTAATAGATTGACGTTGGTATAGCGAATAGGCATCATCTACTGTCTTTTTAAGATAATATACTTTCTTTAGTAGGCTATATTATGCTGTCTAACGATTTGGCGGCACTTGTACGACCAAGCCGATAGGTTGTACTAAGTCAGCAAACTCCTGTACATATTCGTCCCTTAGTTCAATATACTGCCGAATGGCTAGTTGGTCAGGTTTAATTTGATTCGTATGTCGGTCAATAGACGTGTTTGTGCGTTCTATTAGGTCAAGTAGCCGGGCAACCAGTGCGGCCCGCTCATCGGCGTTACTAGGATGATTGTCATTTACATGTTCGTAGGTTTCCATGGGTTACTGATTGGTCAAGTAGTCAGCTAACCGTTGTAATAAGGTTCTATGTAGTGTGTCGGATATATACCCGATAGCTCGGTCAATATTGTCAATAGGTAACGCAGTCAGGTTAGATAGTCTGACTACAGATGTTGCTCGTAACCGGTTTTCAGCATCTGGCTGTAATACCTCATCGAAGTCAGGTATAGTTTGCCAAACCTGTGATGAAATACCACAAACCAAAAAATCTCTATAACCTGGCAATTGCCGCAGGAGTAGGACCGGGCGTGATTTATAAGCTCCATTTGATTGCTGAATAGACGCAATGGCTATATCTCCTGCCTGCATGATTACAAAGGGCTACGGGTAGTGTAGGCGGGTACATCGCTGTAATCGGGTTCATCGTCACTGTAGGCCCGATTCAACGTAGCGTGGGCGGTCGCCCGCCATTCAGCGCGTTCGGTATCTTCGACCTGTTGCTGTAATAGATTAAGTAGCCCCTTAACAAACGGGTTTAACTGATCATCGTGTTCTTCAACGTCAATTGTCAGCGTTTTAGGTTTCCCGCTTAGGTCATTAATCACAGATATTCCTTGCATAGTCGTAAAGATTTATACGTTTATTGGCTCAGGCAACATTACGATGTTTTCCTGCGACAATACGTTGATATATCAAACGAATTGAACAATTAGAAAATCGTAAAAAAGTTTCTGGCAAGTAATTTAATAAAAGTCTCTTCGCTGGCCACTTTTATCTGTATTCATCAACCATAAAAAAACAGCCCGCTTACTATCAACTAGCAAGCGGGCTGTTTTTACGTTGTGCTCCCGAAGGGATTCGAACCCCTATCGTCGGTACCGGAAACCGAAATTCTATCCATTGAACTACGGAAGCAGACAATTTCCCTGTTTGGGCCTGCAAATATAGCAGATTACAAGACTAAAACGCAAGCCAAACGATAAACAAGATTTAAGTTCGGATCATTTATTGACCCGAACTCTATAATCATTTACCGGCGCCCACGGCCCCCACGCCGGTTTTCGCCCTTCGGCGCAGCG